CTGAACTTTTAATATGCAGTTAATTAACATTAGAATAAATATCAAGTGAAGCAAGCAGTTGACAAATGCATAAGAACTGTCAGCCAATTATTTCCATCCTTTTAAGGTAAAACACTTGAATCTTCAGAATAGCTAAGGGACCAAAAAAAAAAAAAGGCAGAAAGGCAATGGAATTTCAGGGAAGCAACTCAAGAATGGCAGCTGGGAGAAAAGAGGGCTGCAATAAATTTCACAGACCAGTAGCCCAAACTTTGATGTAGAGATATTTTTCAAATAAAATTGCTGCTATTAATAATACCTGTTGGTTGTTTACACACCACTTAAAAAATAATCTTGTAAAGTGACTTAGGGAGGGAACTAGCTGCACTAAAGTTAAGGTTACATGTATTGTAAAATAGATAAAATATGGAAAATAGACACACTGCAGTTTAAAATGACAAGATTCCTACCTCCTTAACCCTTCTAAAAGGCATCTTCATCATTTCTTGCTGTTTCTCCAGCTGTTCCAGATTATGGGGTTTAAGTGGGGATCCTGGCAGTGACTGGCAAAATATGTCATTCACAGGGGAAGCCCTGAACCTGTCCAAATAAGTTATGGATACATCACTTGTATTCTTGTAAGTTGGTTAACACTGTACATAGATGTTATGCCAGCACACACATTCACTTCTGCATAGTAGTAAAAAAAGTAGCTAGTACGTATTAATTACTCCAGGGTTAAGCTTTGCATACAAGATATCAGATGAGCCTTTTTTTGGCAGTAACTATAAACACATTTTGACTGAATTGTAGGAGTGAGAAACTCACTGAGTTTAAACATAAAACTCTCCTGTACCATAAAAAATGTATTAAGAAATCTACCAAGCAGTTAACCTGAGTGAGACTGCATTCACTTTTCTCAAGTTACATACATAATGTTCCATGCAAAAAGGCAACTTTTATGGAACATTCACTATTAATGCAATTTTAAATTAAATTGCAAGCAAGCAATCAAAATCAGGAAGTATCAGAAGTTTAAGTTTAAACAATCTACCTTAATATTTTCACTTATACTAGGCACATGTTACAAGATTTGATCATATGCATAAACATTATTACCGTTAACAGTTAGGTCTTCTTGACTCTGTGCTATAAAAACACTTTCTCCAGCAATTTTCTAGGCTTATGGGTACTTTTGAAAGTCTCTCTCTTATGGGTGCTACAAAATCTCTGTTGCACAGTGGCCTGGGCACTGTATGTATGGAAGTATAACATTCCACTTTGCATTTAAGATTATTAATCAAGAAGTACTTTCAAATTAATAACTTTGTTCAAAAGGAAAATTCTGCACCAGAAGGCCAGAGTTTACTGGAATGTAGTTTTTGCAATTAAGTATTGTCAAACAATCACCATATGCACTTAGGTATTTTTCATTTTTCCTGATGTCAGTATAAGCATAAAAACAATGAATTAAAATATGCAGTACAGAACTGAGCATTCTTACTCCTTCAGATGAGTTGCACTACTAATCATTAAGATTGAATAAATGGGGAAGGAAAGGAATCATGCCTGAAGCCACTTTAAGGAGTAACTTGCCTACTGCTACAGGCAAAAACTTATATCAAACACTTGCTACCCTTAGCAGAGACTAAGCAGTAGGGGTGTGCAAAATGGGCTGTGTTCGATTTGGACTCCGCCTGAATCAGGGACAGTGATTTGATTTGTGAATTCGGATCACTGTCCCCGATTCAATTCAGCCAAATCCGAATCTGAAGATTTGATGCCGATTCAGCCAATCAGCGATTCAGCCAGCTTTAAATGTTTTTTCTACATACCATGAGGTACCAGGCGTGGCTTGTGAACGCTGTGATGCTGGGGCGGATGGAACATCCCACAGGAGTGGGGGGCGGGGGGGGCCCCCGCATGCTCAGCGGTGAACCCAGAAGTGGACTGGGAGTACTTCTGGTCCACTTCTGGGTCTGCTGCCGAGCACGCGGAGGGGCCCCCCATACACCCCTGCCCAGCTCAGCGATTGACCACAGGGGGGACCCTGGGTGCCCCTCCAGACCCAGGAGGCACCAGTTGCCAAGCCGGAGTGGGGTGCTCAGAGGCACCCCCAGCGTGCTCCCTGGTGGACCCGGAGCACTTCTGATCCACTTCTGGGTCTGCTGCTGAGCACGCTGGGGAGCCCCCCTGCGCTCCTGTGGGATGCTCCATCCACTCCACCATCACAGCATTCACGAGCCACCTGGTACCTTGAGGTATGCAGAAAAAACATTTAAAGCTGTGTCTCTATCTGAATCGCTGAATCTTTCTGAATCTCTCCGAATCGATTCAAAGGGTTCCAATTTGATTCAGAGAGATTAAAGGGTCTCCTCATTCAATTAGGATTTGGAGATTTGGCCACTGAATCGGACTGAATCTCTGCCGAATCGAATCAGGGACCAAAGCTTCGCACAGCCCTAGTAAGCAGTACTTCAGAGACACCACTTATGCCATGCTGCTAGCATGAATAAACTGGGAGAACAAGGGCCTTGTGCATTTATTTTAAACACACTATAAAATGATGAAAATATTCTCACTTGTGACTAAAAAAACCCTCTTGCTTATTGCAGTAAAATGTTTCTTCAAGGGAGGAAGGGGTCAGAAGGTGAGTGGATTTCAGGCAACAGCTGAAATTCTTTTCTTTTTATTAAAGTAAATAATTGTACAGCCTAGTTTGCTCTCTTTTGGGCAGTTTTTCTTCACCCATGTAATATTTAAAGGGTTTTTTTTTCTCTGCAGGGAGATAGGTGGGAACAGAGGACAGGCATTCACCCTGGCACAGAGTTTGGGGAAAAAAAGCAGAATTACAGCTGTAGAAATAGATACATGTGCTATCCCAGGAACTAAACTGGGACTGAGTGACAGTTCCATTTCACCCTTACTCCAAGTGGGGTTGGAGGAAGCAGTCTGCATTCAGATTTTACCCAACATAGATTATTTCTATATCAGGTCAGCTGTGGGGCTGGTGTACTGAGGTAGAGTCAAGTCTCCAACTCTCCTTGCCCATAATGTGCAGGCATCGGAGGCATCAGCCCTGTGGATGCTGCTCTCCTCATTGTCTCCCCAGTAAAAGCAGCTGATGGAATAGGAGGCTTTTTGTGGATTGTCTTTCCTCCCTTATACAGATGAACAAGACAATGCACAAATTTGGCTACTTAAAAAGAGCCACATTGTAAAGAACAGAATTTATATTAAGTATTCAATCTTATTTCTGGTATTTTCTGACTGAAAGAATTTCTTAGCCTTACCATTGAGCTTCCTTAACTAATGTTGGCAAAATTGATATTAAAAACATTTGATGATTCATTGTTTGGTAGCTTGCAACTTTCCTGACCTTAGGTTATCCTGCTCAACAGCCAGTGAAAGTACCAATTAACTGGGTTGCTACGTGTATGCTGGAATACATTTTCACCTATGGCTAAGTTTGTTTAGAGATGGGACTAGCACATCCAATGTTGCTGGGCAAAAAAAGACAGACTTTAAATCTTTAAATTCCCTCATTTCTACCTTAATTATGTGAGCTAGAGTGTTATTTTTGTTAGAATAGAACACTGAATAGTTCAGTGGTATGAACTGACTTTACTTACTCTTCAAGAAAAATCTGAAATAGACATTTAGAGAAAGACCAAGTCTGGAAAGCTTTTACTACAAAGGAAGTTAAAAGTAACTGAAGAGGCCTGGTGTGTTTAAAATAAAAGATGGAGTTCATTCAACTTCGCAAACATTTGTGAAATGAATGCTGGAAGTTTTTAGTGCCTCTAACCGATTATTTTTTTTAATATCTAGGTTGATAGCAATTATTATCTCTACTTACATGCATCTCAGAAGGTGGAAAGGTAAATTAAAATGTCATTTTAAAAAATAAAAATATTACGTCTTTTTCTACCTTTCTGTATATTAAATTTGTAGGGGAAGCAAAATCCTGAAATAAGTCTCCACTAGTAGCATTAAGTAAATGTTGCACTGATATTCATAGATTGTTTTTCAAAAGATAATATATGATCCTTACTGACAAGGAACCTAAGACCCATGGGTCTCATACAGGCAAATGAAAATGGACTACAAATTTGGTCCCATGTGTAAAAGAACCATTATATCAGCTGAAATTTGGGCACCATACCTATATTTAGGATGACTGCATAACAGAGGAGTCAATATGACCACTTCATATTCACAGGTAGTAACTTCTGCTACTGAAAGGATCTCATGTTTAGCTTCTGGATGACAGACATACATCACTGTACTTGATCTGGGCAGGTTTTGTCTCAAACTACAAGGTGTACCATTTCCCATTTCTACTGGATAGTATGGAGTCATTTGACCCTCTATGTTTTTTGAAGGAATCTAGAGAAAAGAGATCAAGAGATAATTAGAAACTGCAACAGAGCTGTTTCATCTTTTTCAAAACATCACTGGACTGTGAAGTCTATCACATTACAAATTTCCTTTTATTGATTCTTTTTCTATTCACAAGTAGTAGGATGGAGTTGTCAGTGGGTGAAGACTTCTTTTACACAGGTAGAAGAATCATGAATATTCAACAAAGTTAAAGCAATGGCTAAGTAGTACTAGTAGGGTAACACCCAAGAATAGATTTAAGAGCTATTATAGGGGACTGAAGATTAGGAAAGTTAAATGGGAACAGATTAAAATACACAAATATTCTAAGGATGCAAAATTCCCCCCTCTCTCCTTTCTTGTCTGGCCTATTAAGGGACTTATGTGACGTGTCTAAATACACTTTTGGATGCTTTTTAAATAACGCAAGCACAGAATCAGTTGTGTGGGTGTGAGGGCACATCTGCCCATGTCAGCCAATCTGTAAAAATGATTAAAGACTTTAAAGACAAATAGCAAAATTTTACTTTATAAACTTTTAAACCTTGGCTTAAAAACAAGTCAAAATTCTGAATTCCTCTCCTTTATTTAAATAATACCCTTTTAAGGTTTGTAAATTAAATCCTTACCAATTTTATATTTATTTTGTTGGCAAAATTTGTAATCTGCCACTGTTTCTAGTCCAGTAACTATTTTTTTAAAAACTATGGATTACATTTTTTTTGTAAGCAAGTTAAGTGACCATTACAAATGTACTGTTCTGCAGGTATAGAAGTGAGCATTGACCCATGAAGGTTAGATCCACAGAAGGATTTAGGCACCTAAATCAAAAATCCAAATCCTCAAATGCCCCTGTTAAGTTGCCAGCTGGAACCTATATTAAAGTTCTTTAGGCACCTGAATTAAGCTTCTGAAGACACTGGGCATGTCTACACGAGATGCTGACTGTGCTGTAGCTTGTTACTATTGAGCAGTAGCATTGCATTGCAGTAAGCATGACATGACACTGCTGCACAGCAGTAACGAGCTACTGCACAGTCAATGTCACGAAAAAGCCATTTGGCGACGTTACTGCACAGTAACTCCAATTGTTGCGCAGTTAACATCTCGTGTAGACGTAGCCACTGAGGAGTGCTTCAGTCCTGACAGTGCTTTGCAGTACAGCACCTCTTGCATGCCAGAGCCCTGCTGGCATCCCCAGGCTAGGCATTCTTTGTCCTCAGGTATGCAGTTTGGTTAGTATTTTCAGAGCAGCAGCTTCAGCCTTTCATCCAATAGCTCACTGGGTAGGCACTCATACAGGACATGAAAGATGTAGACTAGGCTCATTTTCTCCTCAGCCTGAGGGATTCAAATGGAAAGCCACCTCAAAAGAGTGCCTTAGTAACTGAGCTACAAGCTAAGGTAGGGTAGAGGTGCTCTATTTTCTACAAAAGATGTTCCTCTGTGCATGGAATAATGAAATAGTCATTGGGCATGACTATAGTGTAAGGGGGCAGGACACTGACTGGGAGCAGAGAAGACTTAGGTTCTAGTCCCTGCCCCACTGAATACTTGAATATTCAGGGAGAGGAGGAAACTGAATCCACATCCTGGACAAGTGCTCTAACCCCTGTGCTACTGGCTACAGTGGACACTACAACATTTCCCCAACAGCTTTCACTTGACAGGACTGCTCACTCCTCAGTGCTTGAAAGAAAAGACATATATATGCAGCTAACTACATCTGACCTTCAGGCTCAGATCTGTGAATCCCAAGTGGAGAGAGTTTTCTGCCTGCATCTGGACATAAGGTAGCTAAGCAGGATATAATACACAAATTCTGACTTCATCTGCTTCTGTGGCTACATCTGAAATGAATGTTTCCCAAGAAGTATTCATCAAATATGCTCTAATTTACAAAATAAGGTATAGCAAGGGAAAAGCATGTCCATACAGAGTATGAGTCTACAAATTAAAATAAGGCATGACTTGGATGTCTGACCACAGGCCAATTCTGCTCTGGCTAACCCCCAAACCTAATATGCTTCAGGCATTTATCTTGTTCCGTTTTAAAACTAGGTAATATTACATTGAGTTTTAAGGCCTAAATTTCTTCTCCAAAAGGAAAGGCTTCCAGTGAAGAGAAAGACAAAGGAGTGCTATTGACAGAAGGGTCTATCAAGGTTGGTGGATCTGTGTCAAGGATTTAGCAGGGGATACCAGGCTCCCTCTTCCCCTAGGGCACCTAGCTCTTACCTTTCTGTAGCCAAGCCCAAGCAACCTTTGTTAATGAATAGATGGATGAATTCGTGGTAGAAGAATTTCTGGACAAGCACAGAAACAAGTGTTGCCAGGCCAGAACATGACTGCATGTGTCTCTATAGGGAAAAGTTAATAGGTTTTTATATATCATGGTATATTTAAGTTGTGTAGCGATATTAAGGGTGTTGTACAACTAAATATTTTACCAAGACTGAATGATTTATTTATAAAAATTTGGCATGACCTTATCCTTAATGTCCAGTAGCTTGTGACTAAAAAAACCCCAAAACAGTAGATGGAGAAGAACAAGTAGCCTTCTTTAATACTGGACCAACAATCAAAATGGGGGAAAAAAACCCTACTCCAAGGAATTTAATTTTCCACATACATGTTGGTTAGTGACCTGAGCATGTAATCTCATCTAGGTTTAAATTGCTTCCATGGCAGAATTTAAAGTAATGTTTTTCACTTGCCTCTTTTGTACTTTCTTTTGTATTTTCATTTTCTTCTTGATCTAGGGAATAATTAAGAATGAGTTAAGTGTAAAGTTCTTTTCAAAACTCAGTTAAAGTTTTACCCTACATGCACCATTCTAAGCTAAATACTTTGTTTTGCGTACGATATAGCGCTTTGCATACAGTAGGGTATGCCATTTATTTTCACCAGCTTGTAAGAGCAAGAGAGGAGAAAATTCACTTTTAAAATAATAAACTGAAGGAGGCAAAGAGAGTGGGGTGCGGCTGAAGCGAAGAGGAGAAGCTATTTATGTTTAACAACTGATGAGTTTAAAAGGCTGCATACCAGTAGCTCCTGCTTCTCCCTAGACTGAGGGAGTACAAGAAGTGTACTGTGCATTAGTGATCATCACTGAAGAAAGTCTGTAGAGGGGCATTAAGAATTAGCATATGTTACAGTAACTCTTAAGAGTGCTCTGATATGTGGCAGGACCACAAGAGAGACATTACCCTTGTTGTGTAATTAATGTGAGTTTCATATTTTAACTCATAACCTGTCAGACATTCAAGAAATGTATCCTGCAATAAACATGGTGAACTTGCCTCAAAGAAGTTACTTATTGGATGTGGAACTTCTTTGCGGAACTCAAGTATCCTACATTAATTTTAACACCTGGTACATTACTTAGACCTCCCACTATCCTGCAGTGCTCTGCTCTGTCTTCCACCTCCAAGAGTAAGGGAGGTAGGGAGAGCATCTGGCTTGCTGTTAACCTGCCCAATGGTGAACTGTCAGGGAGTTTTCCATGCAGCCTTGTCCCAACTGCTTCCAAGCAGCAAAGAAGATGCTGCTGCTGCTTCTGTCACAGTGACTCACCAGGGACAACCCCTCTACCCAATACCCCCTGCCAGCACTTGCAGCTTGTGGGTATCTTGCAAGTAGCCCTAGTCCCAGGCTGCCTGCCTACCCTTTAAACTACCCAGGTTGTCAGCACACCCTTTAAAGTCCTGGGGGCAGGGAGAGCCAAGGAGCAGCCCTTTGTTGTGGCCTGGTTGGAAAGTGTGTCTTTGCTGTACTCCAGCCACAGGAAAAGGAGGGGGTTATCATATAGCCATTTGTAAGACTTCACTTTCTACAAAATTTGTAGCACTGTAAGATCACATTCTCAAGTTAGGAGGTACTTAAATTCCATGTACAGAATCCAAGAAAGGTTAGGTACCTCAGAATGGGATTCAAAATAATAAGCACCCGAAGAGAATAAGCCTTATCTAGCTAAAGGAGGTGCCAGAGAGGGTTATGTCTGAAATCTTGCCTTTTGCACTTTTAGATGACTTCTTGTAGGCCTGAGTTAGGCAACAGTGTGAGATTGGGATTCACAACACAAACCACCCTTGGATTTAAGTGCCAAAGTCATGCCTTTAGGGCAGCAGCTGGCATCCTTTTTTCGGGCAGCAGGCCAGAATGACCCAGTGTAGAGCAGGGGTGGACAATTATCTGGGCTTAAAGATCACTTAAGCAGTTTTGGTGAGCTGTTGCAGGCTGGGGTGAGGGGTAGGAGTGCTGACCCAACCTGGCATGCTGGGGAAGGGGCGGCATTTGATCCTATCTGGCCCTGGGCCCATCTGCCCTGCACCCACCGCTGGAGGTCCTGGGTGGGTAAGGTCTCCATGGAGACTGGCTGGGAACCCTATGGACAGGGTGCACTCAGCTGAGTGGATGAGATGGGGCCACAGGTGGGTGGGAGCAGCATCAGAAAGTGGGGCAGGTGGGTGGGGCCATGATTGCTGGCTGTGAACAGTGTGGACCTGGGGCTCAGGGCCAAGCTACCATCCATTCCCTGCATGTCCCCACGATGGGTGTCAGTTCCACAGGCAGGGACTGCCACTCCCCACTGCCCTGTGGCCCCATGCCATCTGCCTAGCTGAGTGCCCCCTGCCTCCAGGGGTTCCAGCCAGTCTCCATGGAGACCCTGCCTGCTCCATCTGGTGCTTCCAGCAATGGGTGTGAGGCAAAGGGGCAGCAGTGCCTGGACAATGGGGCTGGGTCTGCAAGCAATATAGGCAGCAGAAGGAGCCACTGCCATGGAGGCTCCTGAGCTGAGTCCAGCTGCTGCGCTGCCCCCACTGTCCTGCGTGCCCTGGGGTGGCAGAATCAGCTGCACATGCCATGGCCTAGGATGCCCCCCCATGCCTGGGTCATGTGCGTCTGAGGGACCCGCCATAGGCCACAGAATCCCTTGGCACCCTGGATCCGGTCCACAGGCCATATTTTGCTTCCCTCCCCACCCCGCAGTGTTAGAAACGGGAGGTAGGTACTAGGACCCAGTTGTCTCTGCTGGCACTTCTCCCCACAGTGGCAAGGGGAAAGTACTGCCGCTGATCCCCCACACTGTCAAATGCTGCCAAAGTCTCATTTCCATGGGCTGGATCATGGACTAAACACTGACTCACCATTCTTCAGCTCTTTTTCAAGAAAGGAAAGACATGATGGTTTTGGTACACATGCCTTTCACAAAACAGCTGGCAGTGCAGTTGCCCAGGACATGGCAAACTGGAGTTCTAGGCCTTCCTCAAGCCTGAGAGATTCACATCCACAACTCCCACTTGCTAGGGGAGCCAGAGCAAGGGCTCTTTCTCTACTGCTATCTTTGAATCGATACCAGAATATAACAAAGAATTCATGATTAACAGGTAAGAGAGAAAAGGAGCGCAACTGGAGCCAACGATTACAGCCTGGTGGTTATGACACTTTCCAGGGAGACGTAGATTGAACCCCCTCCCACCTGAGATGAGAGGAAGAGAGGGTAAAAGAATTGAGGTCTTCTATATTTGGAGCAAGTGCTTTACTACCTAGGATATTATGTAATAAAGAGAAAACCTCTTTTTCTAGCCATGGTTTTCACTGAAAGTGACTGTGGCTGTTATTCTTTGTGCTGAGTTCAATGCAGCCAGTAAATTAGATGCATTCAGAGCATACGTGCTGGATCAAGCTCTTCAATAGATTGTAGTGCAGGGATACCCAAGTGTGGTTCTCAGACATGCTTAGGTGTCAGACGGGAACTGAGATGCTCAGATATGCCAAAACAATGGCCGTTTTGGGCAGTTGCAGAAGCAGCATTCAAAGAATCTGGAATACTTTACTGCTGAAAACTTAGGTTGCCAAATGGCTGGGCAGGAATTTTGTGGATGACAGTCTGGGATGTAGGCCCCTACGTGGTTTTGTTAATGTGGTACAAAAATTTTTAAGGCCTTCCAGAGCAATGCAAGGTTTACCATTGTTGACTCTGCTTTACCATTGTGTACCAGTGTCCACAATCTGATATGTAATGTCCTAACACAAGGAAGTCTCTGCCCTATACTGCTTATGGTCTGACAGACAAATAACTAAAGATGCAGAAAGATCAACATACACTCTATTCTCCAGACTGTATATACATTCTCTCTCTAATGCCCCTCTACTAGAGAGAATTAATTGGCTACTTTCATGTTTCCACACAAAATTTCTAGCACGCTCCTGTGGTAACAACAAAACAATGCCAAAAAATATAAAATGAAACAAAGAGAGCAAAAAATAAACAGACAAACCTGGGTCTGCTAAGGGATTCTTTATCATCATGTTTCCAAGGAAGTATTCTTGGATGTTTATTTTCTACAATCAAAATACATAGTTATGTAATGTATTGCAGGTAAAATGCTCTCAGAATATTTGAGAAAAGTTATGTTCATTCCTGTAAGACTTTATTTGCTGTGGCATCAGAAACCAAGCGTCAGCTTTAAGGCCTACTCCCATTTGGTACTCAAAAGCTTTGAGAAACATACCTGGCCAGTTTCTTTCTCCTCATGATATTGACGAATGTGTTTACCATGACAAACTTCGTATGTCCAGTAAGATTCAATCTAAAAAGAGATTTACATTCTAGTTAATGACAGTCACAATTTTTAACAAATGTAAGGCTTCACTTTGGATTTTGCTGCTCAGCTTTCAGTCTGGGTCACATGAAGACAGAAACCTGAATTAACACAAATTGCAATCCTCTCATGATTCTAAAGATATTGACCATTTTCCCTGTGTATCTAATAGGTAAAATTACACTGGCTTTAGGCTGATATTGTAGGCCAAGATTTATTTTAGGTGAATCATATTAGAGCCAAATAATTCTTCAGGGAAGAGTCTGATCATAGGGTTATAGGACAGATCAGCTATGGTTACTGTTCCAGACAGTAGCTTGATCTACTAGTTGAGGTGACCTGCCCCTCTCTGTTGACATGAAGCATTGGCAGTGCATAGTGGGGGCACATTCCCCCCCCCCACATTATTGGCCCTCACTGGTGAGGGAGTGTGGGGCGACAGCTGGTGCCCTCCTTGAGATTGTGGGGGCGCTGAGAGAAGCGCCAGCGGCACTTCCAGCACTGCCCCCTCCCTGGTCAGTGATTGGCTGCTGAGGGACCCCCCCTTGCCTCACCCCCAGTTGGCGGTCGACCGCTGGTGCCCCCCTAGTATCAGGAGGCACTAGTCACCCATGGCATGGACGTTATATTAGGACTACCAGATCAGCGTAATTTTGGATTCACTGTCCCTGGTCCTCTGTGCCACCTTATTTGGAGCTAGTATATAGTTCACTCCCAAAATATCAAAGGCCAGTTAAAAAAAAAAAAAAAGAGAGAAAAAACCCAACGTATATAAAAAGAGTAATAATGTACTGGGAAATGACGTTACACATGATAAGCAAGCAATTCTAGGGTATCTATAAGAACATCTATTTTGGTCTTGCAATAAATATATCCACAGCATATCTTTTAACCACCAGCTATTACATATTTTGGCTCGAATGCTGGACCCATTTACAAATTGCTACCGTAACCACACAAACTACTCAAATTCTCAGAGACCTATTTAGAACAACCTTTTTCAACAATAACAATTTAAATATTAAATCCAGTAAAGATTTGGAGAATATATTTCTAATTAAATTACCAGTTGGAATCTTAGGTACACATTTATTCATAGTTTTTTTTACAGTAAACATTAACAGGGGGTGGGATATAGGCATTTGCTAACTTGCATACTGAAGAACCAAAACAGGAAACATACTCTATACGAACAGCTACTTTGTTTAAAGAGAGGCTCCAACAGTTCTCTTGGACTAGGACCTTTGTAATCCTTCTCTTCTTCCTAGAAGAAATAAAATTATTCCACTTTTAGTTATTTAGTATACATTATTCAGTACACACACACACACACGTATATATAAAATTAAATGTACAATGGTCAGATTATATTTATCTGAATAAGGAAAAAAGTTGATTTGTAAGGATATAAGGCAGTAACCAATCATGGTCCCCAAGAACTTGCCTAATTAAAATTTGTAAGTATTTTTAATTGGGATGGGACAATGATTATAAGTCAAAAACAAACTAGACAAAATAGATGTATTCAGGGATTATGCAAATAAAAAACAATACATAAATTGGCTTACTTTTTGTGTTTTAACTTAGAAGTGGCAGCTGCAAACTAGATGAGACAATACGAGGCAAAAAGCATTCAAGCTGAGGAGAACATAATTTCTATGGTATGAATAACTTCTATAACCTGTTTCATTAATTCTTTCTTTATGGCATGTGTATATAGTAGAAAGTGTTTGTGACCACATTTTAACAGGACAAAGAAGTTTGAAGTTATAATTCAGAAGATGTAGGAGTGAAAAAATCTATGAAAACTGATTTCTTTACACAGTATTCTAATATTATAAAAGCCTAAGTCTGTCCGTCTGTCTGTCCATAACACTTAATTCGCGCTCTGATTGGCTGACAAACAGCCAATCAGAGCGCGAAGAAGCATTCTGACAGAGGGCAGCCCGCTGCCATGATAGTGGGGACACAGCACAGCTGGCCTTACCTCCACTACCCTGCTCCATGGAGGTGGTGGCAACAGAGTGGACGGAAGTGGAGGCAAGGCCAGCAGGGCTTGCCCCCCCCCTGCCACCCTGCAGGTAACACCGGGGGGAGTTGGGCCTGTGCCCAACGTAGGGGGAGGGGAGGGGAGCGGGCCCAACACAGGGAGAGGGGGAGAGGACTGGGCCCCAAGCAGTAGGGAAGGGGGAGCGGACCTGGAGGGGGGGCAGGGGGCGGCTCCATCCCTGCCCGCTCCCACCCGTCATTCTTGATGGGCAGTTGGCTAGTACACCATAAATACCTCCCCAGTGCTAGGGTAGAGAGATCCATTATGTTGTTCTTTAGAATTAATATATTAGTAAGTTAACTGATTCTTTCTTAATTTGGATACTGTTGTGCAGAGATATGAGGTAAACAAGAGACAACTGCAACCACCCTCACTCTGTTGATAATTCAAAGATCATTGACAATTAAGGCAGTACATTAATGAGCTCTAGGACTGTGTGTCTCCAGCCTATTCTGTGCTTACTAACCATACCCAACCTGCTCTAATGGCCTGGTGATCTCACTGTGCCCACACATGGGTTTCTGGAATAGCTGGGGCCGGGTCCTCATTCTCTCTCCCTCAGCCTCTACCTGGCTTGCCTTTCCTATTTTAGCATTGTCTTGCTTTTTTTTTTTTTTTTTATTGTTGTTCTTTCAAATTTTGCTGGGTTTCTTTATAGATGGGAAGGCCACCAGCTACCTAGGTTCAAGCCCTAGGGCTGGATTGCACCGTTTTTTAAGTGAGCCAACAGCTACAGAAGTGAGGTAACTTGGTGACAAATGAACATGTGATCTAGTACACATGAGCTGTTCCCACAAGCAGCCTTGCTTCAATGGGAGCTGCAGAAGATATAAAATTTCATAGCTCACTAGCCTTGGCTGCTGCTTCTCCTCTACATCTCCCCCATCGGCTTACTCTGTTACCAGAACCTCCCCCACAAAGGAACTCTAAGCTAGCCATTCCACTACCACTAACATAAAAGTCTGTTTCCAAAGCTACACACATCCTCTCTCTGGAAGAAAATGCATTTTCCTCTACTTATTTGTTATTCAGAACATCCTCAGAATGCTTCATTCCTGACAAATCATTCCACTCTGTTCAGGAAAAACCCAGTACTGGAAAAGCAATGAAATAAAATCAAACTGTAGAGCAATAGTCAAGAATTAGTGTTAAAAGGAGAATGACCTCCCTATCTTCGTCTTAGGTTATGCAAAGTTCTACCTTGCCTCCAAATCCCCCACCCTTGGCAACTTCCCCCACCCCTTCCTATTTCAATTTACTAATTAAATCGAATGTTTTTAGTTACTACAGCAAGACAGAGGTTATGCTGGTGGGTACAGCAAAACTCTTATGGCACTTTTACATGCTCCAGGGGGGTGGGGGTGTGTGCTTTAATTGGAGTGGCTCTAAAACACTGCCATGTCTCGTGTATCAGTGTCCCCATGCTTAAAAATGGCAGTGGGAGTGCTTGAACTAAAGCTTTAGTTAAAAATGGCGGTGGGGGTACTTGAAGTGTGGGGACGCTGATACACGAGATGCAACAGGCTGCTGGAGCGCCATGCTCCAATGCACTTGATTGAGTCTGCTCTGATGCCCTGGAAATCCAGCACATCAGAGCAGCCTCTGTGCTTGTGTATAGGTGCCCTTAGATTGTATGATGCAGATTCAAATGTTGAAAGTATATACCCACAATCAGTCAATTCAGCCAGTAGTTAAAGCATGTTTCTGAACCTAACTGCCTCCAAAATCTTCTGAACAGCTAGTCACTGACATTGTTATAATCTCTGAATACCAAAGACCACTCTATTCCATCTTGGCAGACAAGGACCTGACCTTAATTATATATTCTTATCTCCCAACCGGAGTACAGTGCTGCATACCTACATAAGAAGCCATCAGTCCTCTGCGAACTCCAACTAGTGCAGAAAACTACAGTGAATTTTTCCAGCTCCTGCAAACACACCAAATCTGTCCTCCCCACCAAACTGACTTCTTACACAATACAAACTCAAATTCAAGGTCTCAACCTTCACCTTCAAGACACTCAATACTCTGGAGTCCAGAATATCTATGACATTGGATGGCCAACCTGCAGCACAGGTGCCACAACTGGCATGGGCAGCTTCCGTGTATGTGTCATGTGGCAGACTGGGGACGGGACAAGCAGCACAGTGGCAGAACCGGCAGGAAGCAGAAAGTGAAGCAGAAGATCAGATGAGGAAACGGGATCAAAATGGCATGCAGGGAGGATGTGGGGCAAATCTGTGACATGCTAGCCAAAACAGTTGGCCCCCACTGATCTATGACATCACTTGAAATCTCAGGATGAAGATCATGGCCAACAGCTCTGTTCCACAAGGAGAAGCATGGTGGGAAAGCTCACCTCTGCAGGAAAGAACATTTTTGTCAAGAGCTGTCTTTGATCATGAAACTAACTCTCACAAGAACCAGAACATCACGTACTTCATTAATTTCCACTACAACTACAAGATGTACTTTCCAACAGGCCATCTACTAGAAACACAACAGCATGTTCATTTACAAACCCGCACCCTGCACTGCATGCTCAGTTCTCTCCCTACAGAGGGGAACAGAGAAAGAACAAAGCTCATGTGACAGCCATAACTTGCATCACTTAATGCCCTGCTCGCAGGCACACAGAAACCAGGGTGATAAGCAGGGTGCGGTCCTACAGAGAACTGTCGTTCATGACCACTGTGTTCATAGAATATGAACGATGCTGACAGTTTGCTTGAGAAGTTGGCCACTCATTTCTTTTAAAGGAATTTTTATGTCCTGCAGACACAGCTTGTAACAGCAGCAAACCCACCAGAAGCCTGGAATGACTCTTTTGGCCCAGGCAGGATCTCAGCACTGGTTCTATAAGGCTGCTTGGTTGCGTGCTATCTATGCTGCACGCAGCCCATTACACCAAGGCCTAAGCGCGACGCACCCTGCCCAGGGAGCCTGGCCCAAAGAGAAAGGAGCTGCTCTCTGTTTGACAGGAGTGTCATGAACAGGCTGCAGATGCAGCACTGGCCATTCCTGTGATGGGTCTTAAATTTCACACCTCCCTACCCACTGGGGTGGGAAAAGCCTCACTAGTAGGGATCAAGGTGTCAGACCCCTTCCCTTGGTCCCGTCCCTTCCCTTTTCTGCCTGCCCTCCCGCCCCAATGTTATCTGACCCCAGCAGTCTTTCTTGCCCAAGCGCGTGGGTCCTGGACCCAATGATCTGTAAGGTCCCTTCCAACCCCTAACAACTATGAAACGGACCCAGGAAGCTCACCTCATCCCCACTGGCTATCAATGGGAGCAGGCACTTGTACTTCTCCTTATCCACCGTTGTCATGATGACGTAGTTGTCCTCTTTGTAGAGCACGCCGGCAGTGGGCTGAAACGGCACAACCCAGGGGTCAGGCAGCCCCTCGCAGGGAACAGCCGTGCCCAGGGGAGCCGCTTTCCAGCCCCGGGCTCAGCCCAACACAGGAGCTTCAAATGGACCAGCGCTGCCAGGTTTTAAATATGAAATTATCGTATTGGAAGCTCAAAATGATTTGCTGAAAAACTATTGTGCAATAAGTCTGAAAAAATATGCAATAAGTCTTCTTATTTACTTTGTATTGCTCACTAAGTAGCAAGGGAGCGAGAACTGGGTCAAAGTTGAAACATATCGTTATTTTGAGGCCAGCCGTCATAAGGAAATGCCGAGAGCAAGCCCAAAAGTCAGTTAAGACTCTCTGTGACTTGGGTTTTGCATGTACTGCATCAATTAACTGCCTCAAAAATGAGTGCATCTTGAACACTTCTATAGTTACTGATTGCACAAGGCTGGAAACGATGACAGAAATATGATCGTGACCTGCAGTATTACCAACCCTCAGGATTTTGGGCATTGTTCTTAAAGTCTATGCTTTGGCCACATGAAAAAAAACCTCTCTTTCTCTTGTCTAGAGTTATAAATATAAATCTAGATAAAAGTAAGAGAGATGCTTGTTCACATGCCCAAAGCGTAGACTGTTAAGAACAACACCCAAAATCATGAGTTGGCCACACTACGCCTGGCAAGATTGAAAGCGACCCGCTCCCAACCCCCGGCACTGACCAGGCTGAATTCGGTGCCAGGCCAGTTCACCCTGAAGGGGACGTCGTCGCTGAGCTGCGACAGCGCTCGGCTGCCGGCCCCC